ACTATGGAGACGTAATTCATGGGAAGAACAAGGTGTTTCCATACATGGAGATAGCCTTGCATACCTTAGTGACGAATATTGAATGAAGAACCTTGGAGGAGAATCTTGAACTTGGAGAGATCCCTTTCTTGATGTTCTTAAGTTTTTGGAGAAGGAGAATTAGGGAATGTAGAAGTTGTTATTCGTATTAGGACGTTATTAGACTATAATATGGGTTTAGAGAAGTTAATTGACGGTAAAAGGTTAAGAATACCCCTCTTAGAATGTAAAAGACTATGAAAATAAAAGAAAATGACATTTTAATGAATCACGTCGGCCAAATTGATAATATAAAGGCCTCATCGCGAAAATATTATGTGGATCACTAAAGTGGGACCTTGAATCGCTAAAATTAATAGTTTCTGAAGGTTTTTCGGCCACTTTGGGGATGCATTTCGAAAAAACGTCAAATTATTCGGTGATTCACTTATTTTTTTCAACCCGAGCATGTTCTAGTAAAACAACCATAAATTTTTAATCCGTACTCAAATTATAAAACGGTCGGCTACCCGGAATAAAATTTATAGACCTTTAATATGATAAGTAGTAGGTCACCTAACTCTTCATATTCTAAGAGGTGTGGTTGTTTGAAGTTGACTCTTTCGTGATCTCATGGAAAAACTCAATCCATAGAGAAGCTTTGAAATTGATTTGGTGTTAGAGGTCCCTTATGATCCTAAACCACATTCGATACACTTCTCAAATTTAAGAATGAAGCTTAACACATATGAACAAGTAGGAAATCAACCGGTCCAAGCTGATACGCTTACAACAAATGGTTCGGATCCTAGAGTAGAATTTTTGAGGTGTTACATCTTTTTTGAATTGATGCAATTGAAGCTAAATATATTTTATTTAACTCTTTCTTGAAAAACTTTTTTAGAACTTGTAATATACTTTACTCATGAAAACAATACATATGAAATACTATGACAAGGTTTTCAAATAACTTTAACTAAGAGTCCATGTGGTAGAATGAGTATGATCCATAAATCAAAGATCATCAATCATAAGAAGTGCAATATAATTTCAATAATAGGATCAACAATTGGAAAGAGAGATAATTCAAAATCATAGACTTTGGGATAAAAACCCTAACTTTGATCTTATTGGTTTGAAACTGTAGATGTTGGGTATGAGAAAGAACTAAGTTACCCACTATGATAGTCTTACATACCTTAAATGCTCCATAAATCTTGGCAAATTAAGAACCCTAACTTGATGAAGAACAATCAAAAAAAAAAATTCTCGGGATTCTTGAATTCTCTTCTTGAAAACCCTATGGTCAAGAGTTAAGATTTCTATTAACAATTCAGATTAGATGATGTAATTTGATTTGAAAAACATGAAATACTTAGAGAAAGACTTACCTTGATGAAGGAGGATGAGAGGATGAGAGAAAACCACTTCCAGGTCTTGAAAGAGTGGTTAAAAAGCAAAAAAATCGAATTAAAATTGGCTTGAAAGGGTTCCCGTCGACCTATTTACGACCCATTTGTGGCTCACAACTGGTTCACATCTCATTCCAAAATGTCAATCAAAATTGAAACGGCCATAACTTTTGACTCCTACCCCCGAATTAACGAGCAATCAGCGACCTTGAAAAGAAGACTCTAAGACCTTTAATTTTGATGGATAGATGAACACATAACTCATCATATTCTAATAAATATTCTCCTTTGAAGTAGACCATGTAAAAACTTATATCGAAACTCAATCGATAAAGAAACTGTCAACGCAACTTTGTGCTAAAGGATTATTATGACCTTAATTCATCTCCAAAACTCTTCCCACATTAAATAGTTGACCTTAACACCTATGCACAATTAGGAATCATCGGTACGGTTCTATATATATACAGAGAATGGTTTGGGTCTTATCTTATAAATTTTCAGGATGTTACAACTTTAATTCCAATTATGGGTGTAGTTTGGGAAACATTAGTGACCTTACTTTTTTCCGCACCCCCATGACACAACAACATAATGTAAGCTCAATTAACAAACAAAAATAAGAATAACTACAACAATCTGACAATCAGTACACATTTCTGCCTTAAGTTACTATTCAAGGTCTATTGTAGCTATAAACTGATAAAAAATGGTGCTTATCTTGCTACACCCCCAAACATTTCTCATTAGGTAGACAAACCCTCATTGTCTTTATTCTCATGGAGCTATGCCGCACAATTCAGGAAGAAACTATACCAAAAATATCGAGCCCGCGACGTAAAGCAACTTTTGTTAAACTTCCAAGCTAAGAACACATAGATCCATAGAGAATTCCTAGCCTAAGACTTTGGTTTTTCTGGGTTTTTGACAATTTTTTCTAAATATTATATGAAATAGACGACACTTTATAAGTCTCCACCGAGCTAGGGGCCTACTTCACATGCTTACTTGTACAGTTTTGTGAAAACACAAATATCTCTCTATTATAAAATTGTATGAATGAACAATTTAGTGCCTTGGAAACAAGGCTCGTCCTTTGATTTGTGTAACACCCCGTATCCAAAAACAGACCAAAATGCAGATTTCAAAAGTTGCAGGTGCAACCCACGGTTGCCACCCACGGTCCGTTCTGGTGGTCCGTGGTTCACCACCTGCAACCCTTCCCAAAAAATCTAGAAAATTGTCTAAGGCACGACCCACGGCCAGAACCTATGGACCGTAGGTGGGACCGCGGTCCGTGGATCGAGGCCCCAGAACTTAGTCCCAGAACCCGTCGACGGTTGACCAGCACGGACCGTTGGTTCATCCACGGTCCGTCGGTCAGTTCCGTCAGTGGCCCCGACAGCTTTTAAGTCAGGGGTCGTTTGGAATTTTCTTTATCCGTTGGACCCCTAAACTACGTCATTTAACCCCTAAACTATTTTGGTCAATTTTAGCCTAGTAAACTAATTAGAACCTACCCTAGTCAATTCTTTCTAAAAAATTCTTCAAACTTAGAGCAAAGCAAATGAGAAAAAGCCGACCAGCCCTAGTTCCAAAACGCAACAAGTTTTCATCAGTTCCAGCCTCGAAACCGAAAGATTTCTCCGTGGAATTCGTCACTAGGTATGTGGGATTTCACTAGTGGGTTCCTTTCACCCTTTAGGTCCCTAGATTTCAGTCAAAATCTTGATTCCCTTAATATTACCTAGACCTAGGGTTTCTTGAATGTTAGAAATTATTGGGTTTTAGCTGTTAGAATGATCCAAATCAGATTGTCATGAATTTAGTATCGTTGTGTGTATATTCTTTCATAAATTCAGAACTCTATCTATGTAGTTCTTTTAGTTCATGAATTACACATGCTAGGTCAGTTATTTCAGTTACATATACATGCCTCAGTTTTTGAATGTTTCATTATCAACATATTAATGTTGCATTCTCAGTTTGCATGTCAGTATTTTGAGTTATCCAATATTACAAAGTCGTAAATTGTTAATTACATAATCAATTGTGAGTAGCTTAATACCGAGTGGACTAGGGTCAGTCACCCTCATAGTCCCAGAACTATGTGCCCCGTAGGTAAGTCCCCTCTGTGGGCATCAACTTAGTGATCACGCTAGTCATGCCTCTATACCTCTGGCAAGGTATATTGGGTCCTCTCGATGGGGCGTATACATCAGACTCCATATTTAGCTCATGTGGTTTTATGTCGGCTATTAGTAGCTCCCTTACAGTCAGATTCTATTGCATTGACCATGTATCAGTTACAATCATATTTCAGTCTCAGCATGTTATAAACTTGGTCATTGCATCCAGTTAGTTCATGTTCAGTATTCTCAGTATAGTATCATGCTTATCTCTTATCATTGCTCAGATTTATGCTTTGGTTCAGTTATGATTATTGTTCAGCTTTACTCTATCTTGCATGCTCAGTACCTTTCAAGTACTGACGCATACTCTGCGCTGCATCTTCTCGTGATGTAGGTTCATGTCCTCAACTTCCAGATCACGGTTCCCGATCTCCAGTTCAGCAACATCAGTGGTGAGTCCTCATTTCTCGAGGACGACATACATGTTTCCTTTCCTTTTAGTCTTAGTTTTAGTTTTTGCTAGATTTAACTCTCAGTTTTATATATATTTAGATAGTATGGGTATTCCCCATCATTTCAGTTTACATGATGATTTAGCTTCCGTACAATATTTCTTTACTTCAGTTTACTTTAGTATGCTTATGATATGCCAACAGAGTTAGCTTGGAGTCACTCGTGATCCTAGGTCCCGTGTCCGCGTCCTAGGGGTAGCTTCGGGGCGTGACAATTTGATAGGTAATCAGTCCTCTAACTCTTTATAGATTGAGAGAAAGCTATGAGACATCTAACCCAAATTTATGAGTTTTATGAAATTAATTTGCGATAACTTTTGCCGATTTTTTTTACAACTTGCTTGACTTCTAAACTTGGCATACTCCCATTGTGCGACTCAAATACATAACACACGCTTCAGATCATATTAAACATATTGTTAGTCTTGCTCGAATGTACAAATTAATTTAAACATCCCGAATGAGTAAGGTATTACACTTCTCCTATAATAGTCCACCGGTTATTTGTATTATGGGCTCCCCAATTTTGAATAACAAATTGTATTAGCATAATTTCTAAGGTAAAAGCTCTTTGTTATTCGATTCTCATGTGACTTCGAACACATGGTTTACTGGCCACCAAGACTCAATTTTTAGGATTTAATATATTACTTGTTCTTTTTATTGTTCTTAAACTCACTAAAAAAATTTTGTTGTGATTTATTTCATTATAAGATGAATCTTAAAACATGAGAGTTGCTTGGATGATAAATAGTCTTACTTCCAATTCGAAGATTGTGAGTTCGAGTCTAACATTGTTGTCCATTGCCACAACATGGAATCTGTTCAATTACCCTTTGGAATAATGTTGAGCATACATGGCCAGACCAATAGGCCACTCCAAGCATAAAGGAACACCTTCAACAAATTCTCCGTCTACGGGAACTATGCAGAGGCTCCTGTCACTCAAACTCCTCTCGAAAATACCTAGAAATCTCCCAAATGCGACCACAAATCCCTCCTCACAAACGTCCCTCTCTCTAATTTCCAAGGCAAACCAATGTCACCCATCACCGCAGCAACTGTTTTCTGTCCCATACACTACTTTCTTACACTCATGGAGGCAACAAAATGTGAAATTTTCTCATGGGGTTTTCTCAAACCCACTTTTCTCAAAGCAGTTGTTTGCAAATACCCATTTCAGAGGTGATCTGAGCAAGGTTTTAGTTAACCGCACTGTTGGGCTTGTGAGGACTCAGTTAGGACGAAGAAGTTTTCATTCCAATTTCTTAGTTGGTTCCACTCGCCGCAGCTGGTACTTTACTATTCCCTTTAAGCATCATTACTCGTTCTCCTCTCCGGGTACTCATTTCAATCCAATACTGAATAAATTGTGTTAAGGCAAAAACCCTATACATTCCGCTCAATTCTTGCCAATTTTGTTCCAATAATAAATATTACTCCTCCGTGTCAATTGCTTGTCTCACTTTCTCTATGCTATGTCTCTATCTTTAGGTTAACTACTTAAATTTATTTGTCTGTTGTTGAGATATTATAGTGAATCAAGTCTTGACTTCAAAACTAGTAATAGGTTTTGTTGATGGATAAGTAAGTTGTACACTTGTAAGCAAGTTCCATTCACTGAATTTTCCTGGGTTTTGGCGGCAGTAGCAGGAAATATAGTGATAGGGTGTGATCTTTAGGGGCTCGGTCCCTTTGGAGATAGGAAACTTGAATCTAGCTGTTGTTCCTTCAGTTTTTATTAATCTCTTAATAGTTGGGGGAGAACTATGAATTGCTTAAAATGGGAATTCTTTTGGGACTTAAAATATAGTTTTGAACTTGAGTCCCTTGCATTTAGTATCGGCTCTCTTTTTCAATTGCACCATATACTATTTTAAATTTATGCCATAATCTCTTCATTTTCTTTGCGAAGTTCTTTTGCATCATCATTTATGCTCACACTATTTGTTTTCTAGTCTATTATTGAGAGTAGGTTTAGATTTCTAAAATAATCGGGTCCATTTTAGCTGTAGTGATTATGAGATCATTTGCACCTCACACTTGAGTTATGGTACTATCTACTAGGGGCAAACCGTATTTGGATCTACAGCTTGGTCTTGCTAAAAATTTGGTTTCATCTTTATTATACCTTCACTTTTTTTGGAGAAGAACACCTTCATGTTTGTTATTTACATTCAGTGAGTTACCCATTCTCGGCAATTTGGAAACAAAATGTCTTGAGGCAACTAGCTGACTTAGAGGAGATATAGGATCACAGAGCACTAGAGGAAGAAGAAATTACCTCTAGACTGGCACTTAACATGGAGTTTGAAGACATAGCTAAAAGGGAAGTGATTGAATGGAGGCAGAGGTTCATGACAGTTTGGTTAAAGCAAGGGGATAGAAACACTGATTTCTTTCACAGAACTGCTAATGCACACAGGAGAATAAACACAATTTCCAAGCTGGAAGTGAGAGCGAGATTTTGACCAAACCAGAAGAGATGCAAAAGGAGGTAGTAGCCTATTATGAGAAGCTATACTCAGTCAGAAAATTGGAGACAACATCTAGATATGAGATATGGTCCCGTGATTGGAGAAGACGAAAATAACCTGCTGATGGCACCTTTTGAGCAACTGGAAATACCGGAGAGCATAAAAGCATGTGCAAGTGACAAAGCACCAGGGCTAGATGGTTTTTCACGTCATTCTTCAGTCTTTAGTCAATGCTGTTATTAGTTCAGAGCTAGTAGCAACAGTACATAATTTTTACAAGGTAGGATTTTTTGAAAGGAGCATCAATGCCACTTTTGTAGCTCTAATACCATAGAAAGTGGGAACCATGGAGCTAAATGATTTCAGACCTATAAGCTATAGGAGGGGTGTACAAGATCATAGCCAAACTTTTGGTAGAAAAACGGGAGGAAGTGATAAACTTAGTGGGCAGACAACAAATGACATTTATTAAAGGATGACAAATTATGGATGTAGTGCTGATAGCAAATGAGTGTGTGGAATCTAGACAAAGAAGTCAACAACCTGGGTTTTTATGCAAACTAGCCATTTAGAAGGCATATGACCATCTGTCCTGGAACTTTCTGATTCTTATGATGCAAAGGATGAGTTTTGGAGCTTAATGGATCGGTTGGATGAGATACTGCATTAGTATAGTTAAGTTTTCTATAGTAATCAACATAACTCCCAATAGTTTCTGTCCGTCCCAGTGGGGCTTGAGATAGGGTAACCCCTTGTCCCCCTTTCTATTCATCTTAGCAATGGAAGGAATGAGCAACATGATTTGTATTCTATTTGCTTACCTCCACTCTTTGTGCATTCACAAGGGTTGGGCCTTTTTTGGGGTCTCACGTGTATAATAGGTGGGAAACTAACCAACAAATTCAACCTCGTGCATGTTATATTTTGATATTATTTCTCATAGATAATCACATAAATCTCATGTGAGGTGCAATCTATTTCACTTGTAGATTATAAAAGTACAATATGACATATTTCATTTGAAATTTTAACCTAGTCTCACATGTAGGCTTAGAAATAGGGTAGGAATCATAGATGGGACATACATTACACCTGCAATTCAATGAGCTCATGATTCTGCAAGAACCTTAGAATAAGGGAATTGATCATAATAAATAAAAGAATAAGATGCAAATTACGGAAGGGAATATGCTTTAAGGCTGCAAATGCAGAGAACTCCAGATCTTTGGTTGACTTCAATTGTAAGAATAGCATTGCTGATGATAGAAGTAGAGCTTTAGATGTGTCATTTATCCACTGTATAAAAGATCTCTAGTTTTGTAATCTAGTGTGGCTTCTTGTAGTTTACACCAAAGCAGCTTTAATCTTCCTCTCTCAGATACCCTACTAGAGACAAAACCAAATGTACCACTGTTAAACCATTGTCAATATTAGTACTACCTCCTAGAAAAGTTTTTGGTTGCTTTTTGCTTTCCATTTTTCATTTGTGAGACCACATTCAAACCTATAGAATATGATTAGTTATTGAATGCAAGAGAAGTTGCAGATGAAGTATTATAGTGCCTACTCTTTTTACAGTTTCCATTCTGCTCTTTACTTTTTGTGAATTGCTCATCACAATGGTTAAACAATATCATGCTTACATAGAACTTTTATGGAATAATCAATGGAACATCGAGCAAACAAAAACTGCTATAATCAGGATCATACCAATTATTCTGTTACAGGTAAATTTTGTGGCAGATGAATTATTTGTGTGGTGTAACTGATTGTTCCTTATTCTTCTTAATATTTTGAGCTTCTGGTACTATTTCATTTGAAATTGGTAATTGTTGAGCCTCTGGTACTATTATGCACAGTAAGATAAATATTGCTCCTTTAGGAGCTACTTTACATTTTTGTTTGTCCCAAAAAGCTTGACCCATTTTCTTGAGGTGGCAAACTTTTTCTCCTTCAACCATTCTAACTAGTATAAACTAATTTTATATTATATCTTAAAGTTGATTTGACATAGTTTTAGGGGACTTTGCTACTTAGTTTTCTCTTTGCACTTATCACCTATTATTTAGATAGTTATTTTTCTTAACCAATATAATTATCTATTCAACCATTTTACTCTTAGTCTCCACCAAAGCGGAGGTACAGCCTTTTTAATGGGATGAAGTGAGTTGTATTTAATTGACACTGACGTGCATGAATTGTGACAGCTAGGAGTTCGTTATGGTTTAAACTGTTCCTAAGTACTTTAAGTTTCTGGTTGGAGAAAAGGCAGTAATCTGTGTGATATCATTCTCTTGCCCTTAGTCCAACTACATACATTTTTCTACTCTAAGTTATGACATCTTTAATAGAATGGAGTGAGTAATATTTAATCACACTGATCTGCAGTGACTGATGAGTTGTGACAGCTTGGAGTGTAATGGTTTCACCTGATTCTAGCCTTTCAAAGTTATGTTGGGAGAAAAGGCAATCTATGGTGATGCCAGTCCTTGCCCTTAGTCCAACTTCATATGATTTCTATTAACTAAGACATGAGCCTTTCCAATTTGTAGGAGATCAAGTTTTGGGAGGTTTTCTACTGATGGCGTGGTGTTATGCCTGATCTTAACTAACGTAGCTGTGTTCTTGTTATGGCGTGTTGCTGATAGTAGATTCATGATGAGGAACTTCATGGTCAGTCGCTAAGATAACTCTCATAAAATAAACTTATCTTTTGATGCAATATACAAGCTAAGATAGTTTTCCAACTTACATATTTTTTGAGTTGTATCTGGTGCTTAGATTTCAGTGGACAATTTTACAAGTGGACGGGTTCATACATTGATAACATCAGCTTTCAGTCATATAAGTACTTGGCATCTTATCTCTAATATGGTTGGACTCTACTTCTTTGGAACAAGTGTAAGTTCACTTGTCTGTCCACTCTTTTTTTGAGGTTAAAAGATAAGAATGTTATTGAGTCTAAAGCTTTCTAGCTCGTAGGTATGCAGTAGCCTCAATTTTGATGTTGAACTTAAGCAACTAATGGAATTGTATACTGTTTTCTTACAGAAGGACAGGGATTTAAAATGTATTTGCTAGTAAAATACATATCTTTTGAATGCCTGCATGCATTATTTGGACGATTTGGAGAAAAAGTAATATGATATGTTTTGATGGGATTTTGGCACATTCCCTCGAGGAAAAATGTTTGCACTTCTTTTTCTTAGTTACTAATCTCAGAAATGTAAATAATATATAGATGAATTGTGAATTTTGTTAGCTCCCTATCTTTTGCTTAGAAGTTTGAACCTTGAGCCACTGATGCTCGGGGTTTCTCTGTTATAAAAAAAAAGGAAATAATACTATTTTAAAAGAAAAATATTGTTATTATTAGATAGAACCAGATTAGTGGAAGGGGTGGTAGTGGTACGAAGTGTTGATAAGGTTACTATTCTACAACAACAACAACAACATACCTAATGTAATCCCACAAGTGGGGTCTGAGGAGGATAGAATGTACGCTGACCTTACTCCTACCTTGGGAGGTAGAGAGATTGTTTTCGATAGGCCATCGGCTAAAGGGAAAGCATATCAAAAAAGAATTAATGGAAGTGAAGAAATCATGGCAAAATACTTAAAAGCATGGCAAAACATTCTTAAAAAGAATAGTAACTACAACAAATAGTGCGATAATCGAAGTACAAGAGACAGTAGATAGTAACAAAAATCGAAGGACAAGAAACTACAGGAGAAATACTACGACTACTAGTATAGAAGGTAAAGCGAGAGAATACTCTACTACCTACTAACCTTCTATCCTAATTTGTGACCTCCACAACCTCCTATCTAAGGTCATGTCCTCAATAAGTTGCAACTGTGTCATGTCCTGTCTAATCACCTCTCCCCAATACTTTTTCGGCCTACCACTACCTCTTGAAACCATTCGTATCCAACCTCTCACATTTCCGCACTGGGGCATCTGTGCATCTCCTCTTCACATTCCGGAACCATCTCAACCTCACTTCCTACATCTTGTTTTCCACCGAGGCCACTCCTATCTTGTCTAGTATATCTTCATTTCCAATCCTCCTTCTCCTAGGATGCCCACACATCCACTCCTCTCTCAAGATTTCGTTTTTGTATCTATTTCTTCTATCATACGTTTTTTCCCTATATGTACTGATGTATTACACACTACTCCACTATATAGATATCTATGTCGTATTTACATTTATTCTTCTCTCAACTTATTCTCTTCACAACAATTTTAGTTGCAATTGTTTCCATGTCCATCACTGATTCCTTGATGTAACCTTAGAGGTAGCCTGATGCATCTGGCCGTTGTGATATAATTTGCTAGTCATGTCATGATGTGGAGGCCAGGGTTTGGTTCTGGTACTTTTTATTTTGGAGCAGGTAATATTTGTGTTAAAGTAGTACTTAGGTAGTACGGGGAAAACCCATTTTTAAAACTTAAAGGGAGTATAGTCTTCACCAGAGCTAAACCTACTCTAGAGTCTAGATGGACCCTAAAACATCTAGAATTGACTCGGGGTGTGTTCGGTATTCCCATGTTCGGTTGGTCAAATATTTTGGAAATCATTTTGTATAGGAAAACAAGCTCCCAACGGAAGTAGGGAAAACAAGCTCTACTAGTGACATCTCACATTGATTGTGTCCTCCCCACCTCCAACACAACTCATCTTCCCCTTCAGCCCCCATATCCCTCATCCCCATCATCCAACTCCCCACCCCCACCTCCTATAGTATTTGTCTAAAAATTATCTACAAATGTTTTTAGGATAATATATTTTGCTTACCTACCGAACACAAGAAAATAAGTAGGAAACCCACTTAGTTTCCTAGAAAATAATTTTCAAGAAAACACATTTTCCTTCCCACCGAGCACACCCTCAGTCTCATTGGAATAGACATTTGTACGCCAAAAACAGACAACAAAATACATTTAAGTTTAACCTCATGTAAGTTGTTACTCCTATTCTCAAAATATCTATCATTTCTCTCTCTCCATGTGGTCCACCAAATACATGTCATAATCATCCTCCATCTACTTCTATTTCTAGTTCCCAATCCTGCCTCCTCCCAATTGAATAGAGTCTCATCAATCTTACTAGGCATAGTCCAGGAAATGCCTTTGAGATTAAGGAATATCTGCCACATCTGGTAGTGAATCTACCATGTAGGCAGAGATGTCTGACAGTCTGTTACTTTCCCATCCCACATGAGACTTTCCCACATGATGAACACCTGTTGCATAAATAGATTCCTTTCTTGGCAGCATTGTCCAAGGTCAAAACAGCCTCATTAGTCAGAAGCCAAGTAAAGCATGCCACTTTATGTGGCACTTTGGTTTTTCACATATGCTTCCATGGCCATTTGAGGTCTTGATCACCACTTTGATTTTCTTGCTTGTATCCCTCTTTTATTGTGAGAAATATAGGAAAAGAGTAGTATTGAATTGTTGTTGTTTCTACATTATTGCATTGAGATCCTATTTATAGACACTAGAATACAATCCTTTACCAAGTAGGATACTATTTACTATTCCTATTCCTATTCTAAATAGGATTGTATAAACCTATTCCTATTCTAATAGGATTGTGTAAACCTATTCCTATTCTAATAGGATTGTATAAACCTATTCATGTTCTAACACTCCCCCTCAAGCTAGTGCATACAATTCATGTACCTAGCTTGTTACATATGTAATTAATACGAGGACCAATGAGGGGTTTGGTGAGATATCTGCAACTTGATCAGTCGACTTCACAAAATTGATAGTCAATCTCAATGTGCTTGTCTTCTCATTAAATACTGGATTTGATGCTTAATGTAAGTCAATCTCAATATGCGTAATCTTCTCATGAAATATTGAATTTGATGCATAATGCTGATGAAACACAGTGTGATAAAATTATAGTGTTGAACTTCCCAAACCAAACTTGCAAAGACTATTTCAGACCTTAGAGTGACTAACATAATCGACATACAAGGCTACTAAACTCCCCCTGTGCAACAGAGTGCTCAAAATCTAGTAAAAAGTATTTGGATCATATTGGAATCAATAGATGAGTCGATATTAAACAAGTCACCGAAAAACTGGCCGGAACATGCTCATATACTGGGGTATTTGTAACAAACCCAATAACAAGACCAACACAATTCAAATTCAAACAACCGACAAATCTATTTCACTAACTCGTAATTGGAATTACAAAGCAATTTAAGTACTAAATGGAAATTGAAGAACACAAGTAGAAGGAAGGGATGAGAAGCAGAACTCATAGAAAGGGGATGAGAGGGCTAGACATTTTTCTCCACAATTTGCATAATCCCTAAATCACATATCACTACCCTTTTTGATGGAACCGTTTCATGCCCACTACTCAATCCAGATCCCAAATTAACTTGGCCCTATTGTTGGTTCTCGGCCCAATAGCTCTTGTCAGCCCAATAACAACTTGTATGACATTAGTATCTACATTGGGCTGGACTTGGTTCATAACAATACCCCCATCCTAATTAAGAACCTTGTCCTCAAGGTTCAAGTCATGAAATCTATCCACCAGTGTTTTGGACAGCGAGAGGCGACAAAAGGCGACAAGGGCCTGCCTCGCCACGCGGCGAGGCGCTCGCCCTTTTGAATCGAGGCGCCAATTAGTACCAAAAATTAAAAATATTTAATTGCATATATAAATATCCAAAATCTCAATAGCAATAACATATATTAGCAAATATTTCAATTCAAAAACTAAAAGTAGATACTAAAAGTCTAGAACTTTAAAGACCCAATAATTCAAAAGATAATACTAGAACTCTAAAAGTCTATTCTTCTTCAAAACTATCCAACTCTTGAAGATCAACATCCTCTACATCATTATATTGCTCCTCATCTTCTTCCTCCTCGTAAGTCTTCATCAATTAGTGTCTGAGTCCTACTTGAAGTTGAACTTGTAGATGTAGTTTCTACTCCTTTGCCCTTGTCAAGTGCACTTGATCTTGAAGAAAGTCCCCTAAGATGATAGATACTCTCATCAGCTCCAATTGTCGTAGCAACACTACCCCAAGTAAGATCATCATCCTCATATACTAGTTCATCTTCTTGATCTTCGGGGCATCCAACTAACCATTCATTTGAATCATCAATGTTATCCAAGCGAATTGGATCAATGAGATCACGGGCATCATAACGACGTTTCAATGTTCTATTGTACTTAATGTACACTAGATCATTGAGACGCGATAGTGCAAGCCTATTCCTCTTTTTGGAATGAATTTGCGCACAAGTTATAGATATTAACTAATAGATATTGATAATAATATAATATGGAAATTAGGATATAATTTTTTTACTTACGTGTTCAAACACACTCCAATTTCGCTCACATCTGGATGAGCTACAAGTTAGGCTTAATACTTTCATGGCAAACTTTTGCAAGTTTGGTGTTTCACTACCAAATAGTGACCACCACTCCACTATAATAAAATACATTTAAAGGTTAATGAGTATAGATAAGTCGAATAATTTAGGTAAGAGCTAAATCAACTCACTTACCCGGTGACCTTGTGTCTCTAGATCTTTTAGCCGGACCACAACCAAATAGTCCATTTGCCATTTTGTACCTAGGAAGCTCAGCAATTAGTAAATCTTGTATTGTTGTATCGGGGATCATCTTCTCAACACATGCATAATACTCAGTCCATAGACTCTGTAGTAAAGTTCCCTCTTCTTGAACTTTATAATACAATCCTGGGTTCAAAACATGGCCTGCAGCATGCAAAGGCCGATGGAGTTGGTCTGACCACCTTGCATCAATAATTTCAAACACTTTCTCATATTGCTTCTTAATTCCACGAAAACCCCGTTCAATAGTTTCTTTGGTTCTATCCATTGCTTT